TATATATTATATTAAAGAAATAAATAAGAAAAATAGTGTACAAAAACTATCTAGCAGTTATTTCTACTATTTACTAATGGTTGCTGGGCAACAGATCAGTCGATTAACAACAGACATTAATGAAAGATCAGAAATTGTGTCAGTCAGTCAATGAAGGATGTGGGTGTTCTTGTAGAGGCTCTTTTTCCTGATATTAAAAGAACTTTTTGATCAAAGTTTATCAGAAAATACTTAAAATATCAAACTTTAGTGTGTTTGAAAAGATAGAATCATGTTTAAAAATACATAAAACACATCAGAGCACTGAAATTAATTAATCATGGACGACAAGCCTCAGGTTAAATGTGACTAACACTATTAGTATGCTCTTCTCAAAAAGTCTGTGCAAATATTACCAAACCAGAGGTCACAATATGAGGACAGAGCATGTAGCTGAGCTCAAGTATTCGTGTCCTAACTGTTCCTTTAGTACAGATGTCAGTGAGTCATTTTTCATTGAATTTTATAATTTTTTTAAATTCCCAGCTTTTAAAGCTCCAGTGAACGCTGTGATAGATAAATTTGGGTCGTGTTCATCGGTGAATAGTGTGGCTCGTCTAGTAGTGGATGTCGGTATTTACAGTTCAGACCAGAATCTCCTAAACTTATCTCCACTCACACTCACCCATTATCAGGATGATGACAGCGGCAACTGAGACGGATATCATGAGGATGAACTGAGTCATGATGCAGTCCTTCAGCAGGTTGCTGTTGGAGGCATCTGGAGAAAGATGAAAGAGGAACAAAGGAGAGATAATCAATGGAAAAAAAGAAAATAAAAAAAGTATTGTTTTATTTCTTTAGAACCGTTACAGTTATGATAATTAAAGTTTCCAATCGGGGCATTTTGTTGACAAATTATCTGAAAACAGTGCAGAAGATTCACATCTCCAATCACAACCAGTGATCCAAACTAAGGTACTAACAAGTTAAATTAACTCTGATTTCTAAGGCAACTTAAATGTAGAGAAAAGGAAAATATTTAATTGACACACGAACAAGAACGTCAGCTACCTACCAACTGTAAGTATACAACTCGTTCTTATTTAAGACACGAGATGTCTTCTGGTGTTGGTGCCCTGATCTAATGCTTACACATGAAGTACAAACACAAAGCAAATGGGACACGAGTTCCTCGACACTCATCCTAATGTGACTAAAGAGGACTGTTTTTTTTAAATTTGTGTTTAGTATTACCATGGAGCCAAGACACCAATGGTCAAGCACACTTTCACACCATCTGTGACGACAGCAGTATTCAGCAGAATAGCTCTTCTGATGCTTTTTTAGTGGAGGCATTTGAAAGAAGGGCCAATTTTTAGTTTCTGCTGTCTATTGGTTGTGGGGGTGGGGGAGGGGCAATGTAGCACTTGAGCTCATTTCTCAACGTATTGATTTCATAATTTTCAACAGAATGGTTATCAAAGTCAAATTATTCTGAATCAGGAACCATATGACTACAGCTCTTGCTACAATACTACTGAAACCCTCACCTCCAGCTAGATCCAACGGTGACCTCAAAGTAATCAGTAAAGCACAAGTCAGTAGATTATAGAAAATTTCTATATCTGTTGACCAGATTAAGATGATTTATGAAAAGTAGACGTTTCCACAAACAGACCATTTGTTCAGCCTCATCGCCACCATAATTGTAAAACAATGCTATACTTATTGAGTATTATCACAGTTTTTTTCCTGTTGCATAACTGCTATAATGATGAAGAAGACAAAACTCTTTTTGCCCCTCAATTTTATTTTATTGTTAACAAACACATTTGCCATATTTTCCATTTTATATGTGTGTTTATTGCCATATACCACGAGTCTATCCATGCTCACATGCACATGGGCTTAAAAGACTGTCACTATAGCCCAATGGTATTGTTAGAGGTTAAGAACAAATATTCACATACATCCCACATTACTGCAAGGATGTGGTCACAACTTTCCTAAACATGTTGAAACAGTCAAAACTCCTGTTAGACAGCTCAAAATGTGCATTTCTACAAATACATCATGCGATCTGAACACCAACTAATTTGTTTTGCAGCAATAAAGTAAATTGAAAGTTGGGTACTTACCTAACAAAAGGTGGAAAGTCTCCACAAAATGAATGCTGCCTCTTCTCTTGATGCCACAGAAGTAAAGCCTGCAGTCCTCTGCTGTATAGTTTTTAATCACAAGTTTGTTTCCCAGGATTGAGAATTTGGATTCAAAACCAGGAGAGTAGTAGGTAGAGTCTGCTGAAGAAAAACTGCGGCCGATACATGCTCTGAACTGACTGTGGATCTCCATGTACCAGTATCTGTCTGATGTCTGATTGGAGCAGGTTAGAGTGACATTGGTCCCCAGCTCTCCTCTGACTTTGGTCACGTTCTCGGCCTCTGCACAGAGCAGAAACACCAACAGGATCATCCACAGGAGAACCATGATCAGCTTCAGCATCCACAACAAGACGGAGTCGTCTGAAAGCAGCTCAGCTCTGATGTGATTTTAAGAGGGAAGTGCTCTACACTTCCTTTTTCAGATGGTCACTTGATATGACATCAGATTTTTTTAAAAACCACAAAAACGAACAAGCGCTCAGGAAGTAAAATTACATTGACCCTTGCTTAAACTCAGTAGCTTGGTTTAGTATTAGAGATATTCAACTGTTTTCTGCAGCTCAATGATTTAATGACAATACTGCAGTAGTGACGCTAGTAATGAGAACAACAGCAACTTTAACAGCAAAATCATTGTACCAGAGATGACAGTGACATGTTTAAAGTAACAGCTTTTTTGTTTTGTTTTTTGGACTGGCTGCTACATGACATAAAAGGCTCAGTTTAAATTGTACGGTGTCTTCTGATCTTCTTAAATGTTCCCACGGTCAAGAAATAGATTAGAAATAGAAATATGGATTAAAAGAACAAATATTACATTGTAATAAATGTAATTTTTATTAAACAGTGAAACAAAGTGGAAGCAGACAAATTACTTTTTAATACTGTTACAACAAATCATGAAATATACTGTGTACTGATACTACACATGAAAAAATGAAATGAATCAATCAAATCCCGTGATGTCTTGCTGAAAGAGGGTCGCCTACCCTGAAACAGAAAATGAGTAATCAGTACAGGGTAGTACAAGTAGTACTATTAGACAGTATTACTACTATCACTGTAACTATTAAAAGTTACAGTGATAGTCTTTGCAGCGTTAGCAGCAACACTGAAGGAGTAAAATAGCTATAGAGATCAAAACTTTTTAGCATTTTAACATGTGGGTCTGTGGGCAACTGTCTTTTTTAGAGCCAGACTCAAGTCTATATTAGGAAAAATGAGGTTTTTGCTGCTTGACTTTGGCTTTGAAGATAATATTTTGACCCTGGTTCATCTCATTCATTTGACTTGATCATCATGTTTTTCGTGCCAAAACACTGGTGTTCCTGAAGAAACCATACCTCACAATTGAGTAAGGCACTAGCCCTGCCCCAAGTTATGCCCTGCTTTTCATTCTTTCTGCACTAATGTTACCATGACTTCCTAAATGAACATCATGTTTTATTCAGTAAGACCTGAAAGGAGCTCCTGAGGCCATAAACCCACCAGAAAAGTGTTTGCTGAGCCCACTGGAAGCTGGAAGGAGTTTTGTGAAAAACGAAATATAATTCATGATTTAATAGCTCACAGAAGCAACTTTAGGAGCAATAATTTGAAGTAACCATTTCTGTATGACTTTAACCCAACCACAGTGAGACCTGCTGATGTACAGTTGGGAGATGATGGCTGAGAAATGAGTATATCAGAGGGACAGTTCAGCCTGAGCGGTTTGGAGCTAAAGTTAGAGAGGCTGTGATGTCGCATTACTTTGATTATGTTTGTCCCTGATGCAGCTCATCCAAATGCACATGAAAACATTAATAATGGGGTAAATCAAAAGTTATAGAGACAAGGCTGAGATGTTTTGGGCGCACATAGAGGATGGGTAATAGATACAGTATATTGGACAAATTATGTTAAATATGGAGCTGCCAGGCAGTAAAAGAGGAAAAGAAGAAGACCTCAGAGAAGATCACTGTGACAGAGGAGGATACTATTGCATGGTGGACTGGGGAGAATTTGTTGGAACGTCCTCTCTTGGGAAAACTGTATGACTGTGATAACGCACACCTGGATGATCTGAAGTAGCAAACATAAATGACCAGGAATCTTAAATGAACAAAGCTGTTTTAGATTCTATTAATTTCAGAAGACATCACATGCATATTTCCATTTTGTCATTACGACTTAATGCCTGTTAATGTTCATCATAGCAGCCGAACATTTTTTAAACATTATAGAGAGTGATCCTAGTACCAGTACTGTCAGTAGTAATGGTTTATGCAGCACACACAGCATCAGTTTTGTTAGCAGTCACAGTTTTTACTTACCTGCACAGCCCGCAGTAGCTCTGTAGCATTACAGATGTGACCTGAAGCATCAGTCGTAGCATTTTCTCCTCTTCAAGCACAGCAATATGACGACAAAACCTGCCAACAGAGCTGTGAGTCACTTCTTGTTTATCCAGATGTACAGATCTAGATATATTCTTATAATACACAGATTTCTGTGCAGTCGCTGACAGTATAAAGCTGCTTCCTCACTTGATTGGTCACAGTGCAAAATGATTAAAAGAAATACGGACTGAAGTTTGACCAACACTTCTAATATGTGCTGCCAGAAACATCTATTCAAACATTAGATACTGTGATCTGAAGTTAGAAAATGTGCTAAATTTATCTACTGTGACACACTCACTGATTATTAGAATGACAAAGGCAGCCACTGAGACACAGATGATGATGAGGTGACTCTTATAGCAGTCGTTCTGTGGGTCGTTGGGAGGAACAATGACATCTGGAAACAAAGAGGCAAAAAGATCAACTGAGAACATGATATAGTTACAAATCAGCAACTTGAAACACGCCCACCATCTATAAATTTTCATTGAAAAACATACTTTTCATATATCAGATATATAAGGTAGTATACAGCCATGATAGAAAAAACTCTTATTTCTTTAAACAACAACAACAAAAAACCCATCTAGTTACCTGTATCAATACACCATCTTATTGCTCTGCTGGGGTTTTTGTGTTAATTATTAATTTCTTTTTATTCTTTTTATCCAAAGAAAGGATCGCTTTCACTCAAGAAATCAAGGAAATCAGAATAGGTGCAGCAGTTTGCCTTGTGAAATCCAACCTTGAAGCTGCAAGGAACTTTTTTGTACCCAGTGTAAGTTCCAAAAAAGGAAAAAGAAAAATATATCAAGCTCACAAGTTGAGTTATTACTTGTTAGGTTCTAACTGCCAAAGTTTTCTTTTACAGTATCTCAGGACATGTTAAAACCCACCACGCTGGACCTTCACAGAGGAGAGTTTGAGTCAAAACAAATGGTGGGAAGTTTGGATGTGAAAAAAATAACACATGATCTCATTCCGTTTGCATTCATTCTCACACTAATACTAATGACTATGAAGGTCAGACATGAGAACAAAGTGAATGCAAAAAGTAAAGAACGTGGTCATAGATAACAAGTTAAAACATGCAAAACAGAAAAGAGAAATCCTGTTAGCCTGCTCAAAACCTGCTTTTCTGCAAATACGTCATAAAGCCTGAGAACTAACTAATCATTTGTTAGTCATATGTTCATATGTTTTACAGCAATAAGCAAAAAAACAAAAACAAACAAAAAAAAAAAAACTTGGCTACTTACTTGAGACGAGGTGGAAAGATTCCACAAACTGAATGCTGCCATCTCTCTTGATGCCACAGAAGTAAAGCCTGCAGTCCTCTGCTGTCAAGTTTTTAATTATCAGTTTGTTTCCTGTGATTGAGAACTTGGTTTCAAAACCAGGAGAGCAGTAGGTAGAGCCTGCTGAGGAAAAACTGCGGCCGATACATGCTCTGAACTGACTGTGGATCTCCATGTACCAGTATGTGTCTGATGTCTGATTGGAGCAGGTTAGAGTGACATTGGTCCCCAGCTCTCCTCTGACCTGGGTCACGTTCTCGGCCTCTGCACAGAGCAGAAGCACCAACAGGATCATCCACAGGAGAACCATGATCAGCTTCAGCATCCACAACAAGACGGAGTCGTCTGAAAGCAGCTCTGATGGACTCTGACACAGAAGTGCTCTACACTTCCTACTTTACATGGTGACTTCAGTCAGTGTGACGTCTGAAAAAACCAAACAAAACCAAAACCGAAAACAAATCCCCTTAATGTCGCACAGGAACTAAAACTTTACCACTTCCAGGCAGTAGTGTGGCATGTGGGTTAATGTGGGTTCTAACAGCTTCATACTTCATCGGATGACATCTCGGGGAGGCACACTGCCGTGAGTTCTCAGAAATTGGCTGCTTGAGCACAAGAAATGACAACATCACAGAACGCAAGCTCGCGGCTCTCCAACGGGAGATTGAGAGACCAGTGTTGGACTGCAGAACTGCTTCGAAATTCATATGAGCTGTTCGCACTAAAGTAAAAAATACCATCACTTATGCGGATACCCCTCTGGCGCCAACTGCAAGGCCAGAGCTGAACAAAACACCCTGATAACGACTGTGTTTAGTCTGTTCCTTCCCATTCCATGCAAGGCCACCTGGGTTGGCTGGAAGACTGTTTACTTAGCCTGGCAGGGTGAAGGACACTGTGCCAGCTGAACTATGGACACGCACACGCAACCTGAACCTGAGCAGGTAAACCTACAGCCGTAAACCAATAACAAACTCATCCTACATGATAAAAAAATGCTGTCTTCCTCAGCTTTGTCCCAGCATTTGTCAACAGGACACAACCACAAAACGAGAGAAACAACACATTTACTGAGTGGTAGTTAAGCTAGCTCCCCTTAAGAGAGATGTCCAGTCCAGCTGCAACTTCCAGGTCTAGGGCCCATTTTCTTTCCAATGGTAAGCACAGCTCTCTCTTCAGCACCACAGAGTGGCGCGGAGTTCCCCCCACTTCACATGCTGCACCAGTCTGTCTGATAAGTTTCTGCTCCGATTTCCCTAAAACTTCACTTGAAACAACATCTTTTACCCAGTTAGAAGTGGGTACTCTGCACATTTCCACTTGAGAATCATGACACGATCACCATGCCAGTCACCTCACACTCAGCTGCAGAATCAGAATCAGAATCAGAAAGGGGTTTATTGCCAAATGTTGAGCAGGTTTACAACATTAGGAAATTGCTGCGGTGCTTCAGTGCAAACATAGTGTCATAAATAGCACTTAAATA